TACTATAGATTATAACACTAGAAATGGCATCAATACACAGGGAAAAGTGTTTGTTAAAAGTCATGTAATGTGGATGATTGTGAGTCTGCATTTCATCATACTGTTACAGTTAATTCTTTTGTTTGTTTGTTTATGTTTTAATTTATTTTTTAACTTTTTATGTACTTTAAATTTAAAATTACAAGAAAACTTTAAAGAATATTTGAAATTCATTTTAATGTAATTTCTAAAAATTTCAATACAATTACCATGATATTACTGGTATACAATTAAATAAATAAGCAATTACCTACAAACCAACAATTAATTTTCTTTTAAACAAATGTTTTCCTTTGTTTTCAATGGAGGGAAATATTACTGCAATGGTGCGAGGACCTGGCCAGCCTGAAATATCTCAAACAACTGGAGATATTTAAAGCGTTTAAGAGGAGAACAGTGATTAATTTTAAAGAAATGGACTCATTAGCAGCTGTGTGGAGGATGTGCTTTGACGTAAAATAGATCTTTGTCAAGTTTGTTTTTATATTTTATATAAGCTTTGTATTTTAAAACTGGAAGCTAGTTGGAAGACTATTTTTTAAATGCAACTTGCAACTTTTTAAATTTTGGAATCTGTGTTCTATTACAAACATTCTCCTACATCAAAACCTGACAATGACCGTTGAAAACAGAGGAAAACATTTGTTTAAAAGAGAATTAATTGCTGGTTTATAGGTAATTGCTTATGTATTTAAAAATTTCAAATTTTGTTCTAACGCACTTTGTAGTTTCAAAGTTGATGATCATGTTTTAAATAAACGAAAATGTTTTAGATTAAAAAAATTGCCTTAGTTTCCTGAATTTAACATTTTTTATTATTTTAAATATGGTAATAAGTCCAAATTTTTGTGATTAATCAGTAAATTGTACTCGGTGTTGTGGAGTTGAAAAAATCAACAAAGTTGAATTATTCCAATAATAATAATGTCAAACCATAATTAAATATTAGCTATCATAATTTAATTTTGACATTTTTGAAGGAGAATGAGAACAATAGCAGTAATTCATAAACAAGAATCTCAAAATGAAAATATTTTAAAAGACCTTATTGCACCAATTCCAGATTAAATGTAAATTGATTGGAGGTTTTTTATATTATTTTGTTATTTGTATCACTTATTAAGTATAGATTTGCGTCATGGAATTTTCAGTTATTGGAACTTTTAAATTTTATATTATGAAAACAGCAATTATAATAAATTCCATCATAATCGTTTAATGAAATTGACAAACATTTTTGGCACCTACAGAAATCAATATATGAATATTAGAATTTGTAGGCATTTTATGATTGTATGTTGCAAATTTCATTCTGATATTTCAAATGTCAAATTCTATATGTGTATGATATTTGAATTGAAGCTGGCCTCTTAACATTGCTGAAAATGTCAGTCAATTTAACTAAGTGATTGTGCTTGACTTTATTATGGTTGTTGTCTTGATTAATGTTACATCTTCCAATTTATGAAAAGATTTCACGTATTTGTTGCTTGAATTTAACCTAAAGTTGATCTATGAAATTGGTCAAAAATATTTTCTTACTTAACAATTTTGCTACATGAAAGTATTTTTAAAATATTGTAAAAAATTTTAATGAAATGGACAAGGATAATAAATATATATAAAATATTCACAATTTGGAAGAAACAATAAATCTTCAATTTTTGAAGTTGTGAAAGGACAAGACTTATTATTTCTTCCAAATTGTGAATATTTTATATATATTAAGGCATTATTTTTTAAATCAAAATTATATTTGTCTAGTTTATTCTTTAACAATGTCATTAATATTTATAGTAATAAGAAAATAAACTATTCTTACACACCAGAGGAAAATATACTTTCACACAAAAACCTTCGTAACTCCAGTGATACTTGCTTCATACATCAGCGAACGTTTTCGACCCCATCCGGGTCTTCATCAGGCTATGTTTATGAGGAATTCGAATGTGTATGGAACAGAACATTAAAACGAACTTTAAGCGATTCAAAATTTCGAAAAACAAACTTAAGAATAAACACGGAAAGTTGCGCACGCGCAACCACTCATTTGCGAAACGGTGAACACAACCAAAGTAGGAAACACAACAAATCAGTTACGGGGGTGGTTTCCCTCATAACAAAACTTCCACGCGCCCGATATCCCGACTGCATCCCTGGAATTAATACACGTGCCGCGTAAACCTGCTTTATATATTTCCAGAGTCTCCATGGCCCTCAGTTGATCCGTACGATGAGAGATCCTGATCATACGGGCCCTTTGTAAGTCAGCCGTGATTCCCGGTTCCGTGGCAACCCTTGATAGGGCGGTGGTGTGTTTTTTATTGTCAATATCGTATTTATGCTCCCGAAGCCGTTTGTGAAGGGAGCGTTTGGTTGATCCCACATAAACCAAACGGTTGTTAAATCTGTCATCCCACATGGGGACGTTATACACCCCCGGTGCGTGTTTCAAGTCAATTGCATCTTTTCCGTTGCGAAGCAAGTTGTAAACGGATCTAGGCCTACTGTACGCTATCTTAGTCCTGGTGATGGATGAGATTTCCCTGTATATTTTATCCAGATGGTGGTTGTACGTTACGATTTTTCTTGCACATTTATTATCCAAAGACTCCCCAAGGGAATTGGTATTGTCCCGTGTGTTTGCCTGTGTATAAGCACGAGCCATGTTATATATTAAGTTCTTATTAAACCCATGCTGTGTGGCCATTTCCTGAACTCGCCTTAGCTCAGCCATGGTGCCTTCATAGCTAGAGTGATGCGTGAAAGCCCTCTTAGTTAATGCCCGAAAAGCCGCAATCTTGTATGAGTAAGGGTCCTCCGAGTTAGCTGGGATGAAGAGCGGTACATAGGACTTTTTGTAATAGACCTTGTATGTGATTACATTATTCTCAATTCGAATGTCCAAGTCCAAAAAATGCGTGGCGGTGTTGCTTTTCTGGTCCAATTTGATTCTCAGGCCATAAGGGTTATCGTTCATTAAGTTAATGAACTGTTCTATGTTGGGTTCCGTTTTCCAAATGATAATAATATCATCAACATATCTCCTGTACAGGAGGATGTTGGAAATATACACGGGGATGATTTGATGTTCCAGTCTCCTGATCACCAGCTCACATAAATCGCCTGAGAGAGGGCTCCCCATGGGGACGCCCCGCTTTCGGAGGTAAGTTTTGTTATTAAAACAGAAGAAGGACGAGTAACACAATATGTGCGTTAAATCCAAGATGTGTTTTCGATGTGCGGAAGTGCCGGTGTAGGTGAGTAATAAATCCCGGAACTCACAGAAGCACGGCTGGATTTTGATCGACGGGTATAAAGAAACAAAATCAAGAACCGTGATACAAGTGGAGTTGGTTATGCTAATATTCCTCAAGGTTTCAATGAGCTCGACCGGGTTCTTGATAGTCCACGGATAATTGTTTATCCTGTCTCATATGTGTTTGTGTACCACAGTTTCTAATGCCCTAGTAGACGATCTAGCCTTATCAAGGACCGGCCTAAGAGCCGGTGGATCTTTATGGGTTTTGGCGAAGGCGAAAAGCCTAGGTGTGCCGGGAGACGCCACCATCGCCCTATTGAACCTGGAACATCAAATCATCCCCGTGTATATTTCCAACATCCTCCTGTACAGGAGATATGTTGATGATATTATTATCATTTGGAAAACGGAACCCAACATAGAACAGTTCATTAACTTAATGAACGATAACCCTTATGGCCTGAGAATCAAATTGGACCAGAAAAGCAACACCGCCACGCATTTTTTGGACTTGGACATTCGAATTGAGAATAATGTAATCACATACAAGGTCTATTACAAAAAGTCCTATGTACCGCTCTTCATCCCAGCTAACTCGGAGGACCCTTACTCATACAAGATTGCGGCTTTTCGGGCATTAACTAAGAGGGCTTTCACGCATCACTCTAGCTATGAAGGCACCATGGCTGAGCTAAGGCGAGTTCAGGAAATGGCCACACAGCATGGGTATAATAAGAACTTAAAATATAACATGGCTCGTGCTTATACACAGGCAAACACACGGGACAATACCAATTTCCTTGGGGAGTCTTTGGATAATAAATGTGCAAGAAAAATCGTAACGTACAACCACCATCTGGATAAAATATACAGGGAAATCTCATCCATCACCAGGACTAAGATAGCGTACAGTAGGCCTAGATCCGTTTACAACTTGATTCGCAACAGAAAAGATGCAATTGACTTGAAACACGCACCGGGGGTGTATACCGTCCCCATGTGGGATGACAGATTTAACAACCGTTTGGTTTATGTGGGATCAACCAAACGCTCCCTTCACAAACAGCTTCGGGAGCATAAATACGATATTGACAATAAAAAACACACTACCGCCCTATCAAGGGTTGCCACGGAACCGGGAATCACGGCTGACTTACAAAGGGCCCGTATGATCAGGATCTCTCATCGTACGGATCAACTGAGGGCCATGGAGACTCTTGAAATATATAAAGCAGGTTTACGCGGCACGTGCATTAATTCCAGGGATGCAGTCGGGATATCGGGCGCGTGGAAGTTTTGTTACGAGGGAAACCACCCCCGTAACTGATTTGTTGAGTTTCCTATTTTTGGTTGTGTTCACCGTTTCGGAAATGAGTGGTTGCGCGTGCGCAACGTTCCGTGTTTATTCTTAAGTTTATTTTTCGAAATTTTGAATCGCTTAAAGTTTGTTTTAATGTTCTGTTCCATACGCATTCGAATTCCTCATAAACATAGCCTGATGAAGACCCGGATGGGGTCGAAAACGTTCGCTGATGTATGAAGCAAGTATCACTGGAGTTACAAAGGTTTTTGTGTGAAAGTATATTTATAGTAATAATAACAGCAGTGATATCTTGATGGTTCTGTATAAAATAATTTTTATTAATTCTTTAATTATGATACATTAAATTCAAATTGTAATTTTTTCTTCTTTTCTTAGGTCGATTAAGTTTGGCTGTTAATGAATTACCCGATAACGAAGGTCGAGAGACTGTTATTTCGCTGTTGGATACCCTACAAGGTTCTGCTTTTTATTCGGCCGATTCGGGAGATCGTCTCGAAAAACACAGAACTAGTATCGCCGATATTTTGTCTCTTGATCTTAACAAAACTCTTAATCTAGCATCTGAAGAATCATATTCTACTTCTGCTGAAATTAAAAAAACGAATTCTGGTAACCTAGATGATTTTGAATTTAAAGAAATTCTTGATGTTGATACAATGGCAGCATCAAATCTGCATATTCAAGATAACGAAATAAAAAAAGATAATTTACTTAATGTCTGTGATAATGTTGCAGAAAATGGAGGAATGGGTTTTCGTGACACTTCCAGGTTAAGTTCTGCCAGCATATCGAGCACCAGTAGCAGTACTTGTAGTACAGATATATGTGTGAAAAATACAGTTTTGAATTCAAATGCAATGACAAACGAAGACACATCTCTCAGTTCCACTACTGTAGACATTACTTCCTTTCAGAATCGCAGGCATGATGGCTCTTCAGAAGCACCATCAATGGGAGCAATTCCAAAATCAATATCTTTTGAGAAAAGTACAAGTAGATTATCTAAGGTATGAAAATCAAATATTTAATCTGCTATGAATATCTATCATAAATTTGATTGTGTTGGTGTTAAATTGCATCTACAGGAAATCCTCATTAATTTGAACTCAGATAGTTTGAAATCCGAATAGTTCATAATTGTACTTTTGTCCCACCGGTTAGATAGGTTAGGTTAAATTAGATTACGGTTTGTTAGCTTTAGTCCACTGGTTCTTCTGTTGGTTTGCCACTATGCTGTGTATTAGTAGTTGTTTTGGTACTAATTTGTCTGTAAAAGAGGTTTTCATTGTTTGCAAATAGTTTTCGTTGTTTTCGTAGCAAACGTGTCAGGTCCAAGTGATACTTGAGCTCATGTGTTAAAAATTTAATAAACATGTCAAATTGGGATTGGACTTTGATTCTAATGCTTGTAAAAACTGGAAGAAAAACTTAAATAATATCAGGAAAGAATAGAATTATTAATTGAGAGGAAAAAAGTTTTTAAATAACCTTAAAAGGAGATCTAGTGCAGAGATTATGTGTCAGACTTACAAGAATTCAAACCAATTAAATATGAACAGGAATTTCATGGCACGATTAATTTCCCTTGATGAAATAAAACACAATGTCGAATTTGACTCTTTGTAGCCCAAAATGGTCTGTTATCTACCTGGATACAAGAAACTGATCAATCAGAAAGCTAGAGATCCAGAGGAAAGAATCCTTTAAAAGCCTGGATCTGAAGGACAAAGGAAGACTTTCCTTTTCTCTTGTTGTGATTTATTTGCCTGGTCTTCATTGTTCTACATTCAGACTCTTTATCCCTAACTTCATCATTCTGCCTTGGACTGTTCTGGTTTTCACTATTCATCACTTAACTTTCCGACATCCATAGAAGCATCGCAACTGATTGCTTCGGGGCCATCAACTCTACTATCCAGCTCCAACAGTTGACAAGACACATTATAGATTGTAAGATTTAGCATTATAGACTGGTTTATTTGTCATTACAGCTATTTGCCTCACTTTCCTTCACTCCACTTCACAGCCCTTATAACTGAGTGTCATAAAAAAACTCTAACTAACTATAACTAAAAGTGGATTACTTATTTTATGTAAATAATAATAAATTTAACCAGGTACATACATTTATTTATTATTATTTGATAAGTATATTATATAAAATCACAGAAGTCATTTCAATACATGCATAAATTACATTTCCTAAAAATAAATAATTATAACTAACAATAAAGAAAATTTAAATTATTCTACAATAATTTCTTACAAAATTTAATGGGATATTTGTTGCGATAAATCTTCAGCAATTTTTTCAAAATTTAGTTCCCACGTTGTTAAATAAAGATAATTGTGTACTGACCTTGAAAGTAATGGCTGTGAATTTATAATGTGCAGAACAATACATGAATCTTTCAATTTTTGTTACAAATGTAATGTCTAAATTTGCTAAATATCAAGTAATGCGTACATGCAGTGAGTGACACGCATTGCATGGTGGGGGTACAATCAAGGCCTCATTATTCCTAATACCAGTAGTCTAGTAAAAACACAAAAAGCCCCAATCTTATTGAGCAATAATTATAGAATAGAAAAAATGTTTTTTTTTTCTATTCTATAATTATTGCTTGGTTAAATTGTAATTTTATTAGACTACAGGTTCACTTGGCACTAATGACACAGATAGACAGGCTAATCAAGTGGATAAAAATGTTGTTTAGACTGTTAAAAGGGAAATTGGTGTTCACACTGGGATATTTTAAAGCAAGTTTTTCTTGATTCTTGTGTTAATAATTTACAGCAAATTGATTAACATATGCCATTTTATAATGAAAGTTAGATGTACCCCTTTGATTTATGCTCAGGGTTTTATGCTCATGATTTATGATTTAGGGGTACATGTACCCCCGGTTGAGAACCACTGATTTACAACATGAATAGATGTGTAAAACAATACCATCAACCAATCAGAAGTCAGTGAAATCTGTCATTATGACATTGTGAGAAAATTGATGGGAAATGTGTTTTGTGTGTTCTCTCATGGCTACTTCAAAAAGACCTAGAACAGATCTGGAAAGATTTATTGAAAACATTCAAAAGTATCCATGTTTCTATGATGAGAGGCATCTCAATTATAAAATTAGGTGTTTAAAATAAACAATACATCAACGTGTTTTGATAAGAACATCTAGAAAATGGTTGAGAGATAATGACATTGTTGCCTTAAGAGCATACAAATCAAAACATGTAGTGCTCATGAAAAAGGAATCATACCAAAAGGCCATAACACAATATATCTCGGACACGGAATGCACAATAGCGCGTTGCGGTTTTCTTGAGAAAATATCTGCCAAGATGTTGGAAGATCTCCAACACTTCTCTCTCTAATACCTTGAATCTGGCTGCAACGAGAGTTATGGCGCCATCTCTACCTCATATATTTGCATTTGCAAAAACCCATAAGAGCCGACAACAGTTATGTGTGTTGGTGGATAAAATGACTTCTCCCACTATTAAAATGGAGAGACTTTTTAACAAATACATCACTAACCATCTAGAGCAGGGGTCGCCAAAGTGGTCTATATCGACCCCCAGGAGTTGATATAACATTATTGGGGGAGTCGATGAAAAGACTAAAACTTACAAATTTTGAACCGAATATTGCTAATCTTGCCAAGGATATCAAGCTTATCCATCTCATTGATTGTCAGTTACAAAAATTATTATTAACATATGTACAATAAATGTAAAAAATGTAAAATTAAAAGATATATATTAAAATAGTAAGAGCTTTTTTTTTGCTTGTAACACATACTTTTTGGTGGGGGTCAATGTGAAGTTTCGAAAAGTTGTAGGGGGTCGACAATCAAAAAAGTTCAACCCCTGATCTAGAGGATCATACGTACACGGTCACTAATCCTGAAGTACTTCAAAAATTATGGAATCTTAACGAGTCATCGATGGCATATTTCACAATATGTGACTATTAAACATTGTTTCCATCTATAAAATTTGAACGTTGTTTCTGTGAGTTGAGAGATTTTCTTCTGGCAAAGGTGGAAGGCTCTTATAACTATCTCCTTGATGTGTTGGATTTATCACACTTGATGGTCCACTCATTCTTCTTCGAATACAAAGGGGTCACCTACATATTAATACAAACAAGGGGTGTCCCGATGGGGAGCCTAATATCAGGAACACTTTGTGAATTAGTGATCAGAAAACACGAGAATACCATATTACCCAAATTTCAAGAGGACATAGCATTGTATGTCAGGTACATCAATGACGTACTCATCGTATGGAACAGGGTACCTACCTAACATTAGTTTGGTACTTAACTATTTTAACGATAACCCCTATGACCTGTCGTTGAAAGTTGAACAGGAGAGTCAGACAACAGTACATTTTTTGGATATTGCCATCAAAATGGAGCAAGGTTATCTTTCCACCTGTGTGTTCCGTAAGGAGTCATATACACCTCTATTTATACATAACTGGTCACATGACCCTTACTGTTACAAAGTCTCTGCTTTTCGAGCTTTGGTAAAAAGGGCACACACATTGTTCGGAGCAAAACGAAAATAAAAACAAATTGTCGAGGATCAAGGCCCTTGCAACGCAACATTGAGACTCGTCTTCTTTGGTCAAGCATCTCATAAAACAATACATAAATAGGAGGGAGAGGAATATGCCACAAGACAAACAGATGAGGGTTATCACATACAACAAAACACCTTCTAATTTATATATAGAGAGATTGCAACGATTACTGAAATACAAGTAGCATATCGACACTCTCCTACAGTCTTCTCTCTTATCAGAAATGATAAAAACCGTATAGAAGATTCTAATTCTCCATGGGTTTATGTGGTTCCTCTTCAAGATTACTGGGTTAACCATGCTTTAGCATACATTGGAGCAACGGCAAGAGGTCTCGCCATGAGGATGAAAGAACATGAATATTCGATAAGAAAAAAGCTGACCACGACAGCACTAACGACATATGCAAATAATGAGGACATTCATGTTGATTTACAAAATGCTAAATTGCTACACAAAGTATCAGATAAGGCACAACTCAAGTACCTCGAATCGCTGGAGATATATAAGGCAATTAAAAAGGGGGTCGGTATTAATTTCAAAGAAACCGATGCGCTTTTTGCAGTATGGCGTGCCATGTTTGAATTAGATCCCAATGATTGAAATGCACATCAAAGATATTTTAAATTATGGAGGATATTTATGTCATGATCTACGTGAAAGCAATTGAATATTTATTCGGATATGTTCAAAATATTTTACATATTTTCAATTTTAATGCAACATATTCGAATTGCATAGTTAAACGGAACTTTCAAAAACATTCTATTCTATTAGCCGTTAGTTCGATATCGTCAATACCTGAGGATGTCTATTACATATAGATAAAAACATTCGTAGAAAGAATTTTTCTGTTTGGTTATGAACTGGTGATGGTTTATTTAGTGAGTGTTATGTGATCATAACAGAAACAAAAAGGAAAGAGTTGGGAATGGAAGAACTGGAAGACTATATGCATATTTACTCTGGTGTACCAAAAGAAGAAAGAGCAAAATGTGGTGTATCCATGATAATAAAAAAGAAATTTAAGAGAAATTTTAAAATATTACCAACTTTGAAACAATAGATGAAAGAATGATGAAAGCTAACCTAAATATTTTTGGAAGATGAATTACTATCATTGGAATTTATGCATCTGATGAGGATGAAACCCATGAAGGTAAAGATTTGTTCTACAACAAGCTGCAAGAGGTGATAGATGAAACTGGAGAGACAAAAGAAATAATGTTATTGTGTGATTTCAATGCAAGAACAGGATCATTGAGAAATAAGGAAATTATTGGACAGTTTGGAGAAAATGTAACAAATGACAATGGAAGAAGACTAATAGACTTTTGTAATACAAATCACTTTAAAGTCAATAAAGATATTCATAAATATACTTGGACTCAACATACTAGGCAGTGGA